ATAAAGGTAGTTATTACCAAAGGTTGCAATTATCAATGGTTAATCACCAAAGGTTGCAATTGTAAAGGTAGTTATTACCAAAGGTTGCCATTACCAAAAGTTGCAAGGTTTCATTTATGTACTTGTAATTGTTCATAAACAATTGCAATGGTTCAAATAAACACTTGCACCCTTTCACATTCACTTAAATATATAACACCAACGTGTAGTAAAACGCAGTTCCTCCTCCTATCTTGAACTCTCTTGCTTCTCTTGGTATAACCTGGAGAACATATATATCAAAAAAATGTGTTACATAATGATTTATTTGTAGGGTCCGATCTGAAATTTAGGGGGCCATAAAAAATTTCATATTAATCTTAACTTCTAAACAACAACTTAAGGGTCATGCAACCAGGGTCGACTCCGATAGATAAATACGGACCTTTGACGATTTTTTAACGGTTTAATCTACAATTTTTTTTATGAGATTTAGGGGCCTAAACTTTTTATTTATTTATGTATATGTAATTTTTGTTCAAAAAAATTTGGGACCAAGACCAATATTTCCTCCGGTTTGGCCCAACACTACCCCTACATACAATTTATGTATTATCTACTCTATAAATTTATTATACCAAGCTCAAAATCATAATAATAATTAATAAAAATATAAAATATAAAATAAATCATTATATATTAATAATTTAATAAGAAACATAAAAAATAGAATTAAATAATTACACACTATATAACACTAAATAGAAATCATATCTCTATAATATTATTTGAGAAGTCAGTTTCCTACGTGTCGCTCTCACGTTAACTCTTACGATGATTGATTACATAGATACCTTTAATGAATTGTTAGATTTTAAGTTTATTATTAATTTTTTTTATTTAGTTTCTTTTTTACTTTTTCCAAATAACATATACAATAAAAAGGAAATATTTCTAAAATTTTAAAACAGATTTGAAAACGAAAATATATGTATATAATATGACTTTATTAAAAAGGAAAGTTCACAAAATAGTAATATACCCCATTAATATATATTTTTAAATAACATAAAATATATTTTCAAAATAATAAAAATATATATTTTCATGAACATCCAAAATTTATCAGTTACACTTTATTTTCTAATATTTTTTGGAAATCAACATATAATTTGATAAATATTATGAAAATACTTGTATATTTAAACGATAAATAAAATTAATTTGATTTGAATTAACTAAAACAATAAATAAATAAATATTATGAAAATACATGTATATTTAAGCGATAAATATAACTAATTTGATTGGACTTAACTAAAATAAAAAGTAATTATACTTCAATTTTAACTCAATATACTCACAACATGAATGACTCGACTAATCTAATTTATATCTCTATAATATTATCTGAGAAGTCACTTTCTTATGTGTCGCGCTCATGTTAACTGTCACGATGGTTGATTACTATGATACCCCTAATGAATTAAAAAAATATATTTAAATATTATTATTTCCTTTTCAAAATTTTTGAAATAACAAGATAAAATAAAAAGGTAACATTTATAAAGTTTACAAAACTATTTAAAACGAAAATATAAGTATATAGAAATATGGTTTCATAGAAAAGGAAAGTTCACAAAATAGTAATATTTAATTTAAATATATTTTAAATAACATAAAATATACTTTTGAAGTAATAAAATACTTCATATCTATCTCTATAATACTATTTGAGAAGTCAGTTTCCTATGTGTCGCTCTCACGTTCATTCTCACGATGGTTGATTACATTGATACCCTTAATGAATTGAAAATAGTATTATTAATATTTTTATTTTTAGTTTTTCCTTTTCAAAAATTTCCAAAAAGATATGTAATAAAAAAACATTTTTTAGAAAGTCATAAAAACAAATTTAAAACGAAAATATATGTATATATAATATGATTTCATAAAAAAGGAAAGTTGACAAAATAGTAAAAATACATTTAAAATATTTTTAAATAACATAAAAAATATGTATATATAAAATAATTTCATAAAAAAGGAAAGTTCACAAAATAGTAATAATACATTTAAAAATATTTTTAAATAACATAAAATATACTTTTAGAGTAATAAAATAGTTTATAATTAGTATTATTGAATTTTTATTTATTTTTCATATATTTAGTTGACTATAATGTCTTTCAATTACAGAAAATTATCTAGAACTTATATATTACTTATATAATATTATTTTCAAATACAGTCACAATTTTGTTTAGTGCTTATTTTTAAGAGATTAAAAACTAAAAATAAATTTAACAATAAACATAGTTTGGTCAAAATAATTGTTCTAATGAGCTAGATATATGATATTTTATCATTATTAAAATTATTTATTTTATTAATATTAATTGTTTTAAATTTTATGTTTTATGTTTGTGAAACTAAATATAACCATAATCAAAATATCAAAGCAAATCTGAATTCTAAATTTAAGATTATTTAAAATAAATTTCAGTTTACATTCAATAAATCTAAAGCATAAAGTTATTTAGAATTTATAAATGCATGTAACCATTTATTGATCATATGATAACTCAAAAAATGTTAACAAATAAAAATAAATACTAACCAACTCTTACAATTTTAGTTCTTTTGTAAAATTTATATATATCCATGAGACTTTAGAATATTTTCGTTATATTAATTTACGTATTTTGGAATCAGACACTTTAGTTAATTTTTAATTCATTCTAAGCACAATATATCTTAAGTTATACATAATTTTCCTAAAAGATATTTACATATCTAAGACAACACCCACCATATGCAAATAAGTAACNATTAAAAATTAATATATTTTAAAAATATTACAGTTGAATTCAGAGATGCAATCCAATTTATCCAAATGATAACTAAACCAACCGTAAAACAACAAAATTGACTAGATATAACATATATAAAATTACAGTATAAGTAAAGTAATATAATACTATTAATATAAATGATGCATACAAATTATAAATTAATTTAAAATTAAAATTAAATAATAATCAATTATTATTATATATTTAATTTAAAAATAATTATATCCGTGCATGAGCACGGGAAAATCACCTAGTATCTTCTTAGATGAAAAACAATATTTTTATATAATGTGATTCCATAAAAAAATTCACACAACTAATCTTGATACTAGAAAAAGAAATATTTTTTTTTCCTTTAAAAAAATAATTTTAAACAATAATATATATATATATATATATTCAAAGTAATTATTTTTTGGTATATATCTATCTATTTTATTAGATGACTACATAAAATAATTAAGTAACATAAACTGATATATGTTTAATTGATTTTTTATAATTTGTATTCTTGAAATATATATATTTTTTGATTTTTTTTAGTATATTTATTTGACTATAATATCTCACAATACAACAAAACATATAAATTATATTTTACTTATATAATATCATTTCTCAAAAAGAATAACATTTTACTGCATATTTTAACAGATATTAAAAACAAAACTAAAAATAAATTTTAATAATAAACATTTTTTGATTAAATAACTACAATTATTTTAAAATATCATAACACTATATAATTTAACGAAGTAGATATAATATATTTTAATTGTTAAAATTATATGTTTTCTTAATAACTCTTTTGATTTTTAATTTTCTGTTTTTATGTTCGTGGAACTTAATATAACCATAATCAAAATACTTAAGTAAATATTGTAAATATTGTTATGTGTTCATAAGCTTCAAAAATATATTAGTTACTTATGTATGTAATTTAGAATCAGACAGTTTAGTTTTTATTTTTTCTTTCTAAGCACAAAAAATCTTAAGTTATACATAATCTTACTAGATATACTTATATTTCTAAAATAACAACCGGCATAAATGCAAATATGACAATTAATCAAAAATTTAATATATTTAGGATAAAAAATATTATAGTTGAATTCAAAGAAACAAATAGAATCTAATATATCCAAATAATAACTAAATCAACCGTAAAAACAATAAAACTGACAAAAATAAACAAAAACTATATGTATAATTAAATTAATATAATGTTATTAATATAAATTATACCTACAAATTATAAACTAATTTAAAATTTAAAGTAAATATCAATAAATTATTATAATATCTTTATTTTATAAATATTTATGTCCGTGCATGAGCACGGGAAAATCACCTAGTATCTAAATATTTATGATAATATTAAAGTCAAACATTTATAAAATAAAAGATATATCCGCAGGAATGTGCGGATTAAACTCTAGTATATCTTTAAAATTTGAAGATTAAGAGGAGTGTTTTAATTTGAATAAAGCATAAAGATTAGATTCTTTGTTTACCTTAAAGTCGCCGTTTACAAACATCCCAACAATACAGAAGCAAGAAGCAGCGAGGCACATGACCAACTGCATCTCCAGCACAAGTGTGAAAGTGATTTCTTGTCGAACTTTCTTGTAAGTGAGCTGAACGAACGGTAATATAAAAGCGTAAAGAACAGCTGCGGTGAGAGTCACTAGGAACCCAACCACATACTCCTTGTGGCTCACGTCACGCGGCCTGTCCCCATCGCCGCGTAAGGCCAGGATCCCCGTGCCGGCCGTTAACAAAACGACGGCGTTTATAGAAAAAGGAGTGAACTTTTGCTTGACCATGAAGAAAGAGAAGATAGCATTGAACCCTAACTGAGTTCCGACAATGAGTGATGTTGTGGAAAGTGGAAGATAAGCTAACCCATATGCGAAACAGTAGTTGTCAAGTCCTATGAGCAACCCTATGACGATAGAGGCCATGAACATAGGAGTTTCCATGAGGACAATCTGGGTTTTTTCTATGTTTTCTGAGTTGTTGTGGTTTCTACGGCAGAGAAAGGAGATAATTAAAGGGATGATGATGACCGGACAACCTGCGGTTGAGAGAAAGCTCATGAACCAGATTCGTTCTCCGCCATTGTTGTAGTAGAGACGAGTTAACAAAGGACCTCCACATGTTCCAATAGCCAAGATCATGCAGATTAAGATGAGCAGACTGTTCTTCATCATCTTGCTAACTTTTCTTGTCTCAAAAGTTAACAGTCAAAGAGACATTTACATTCGTCTTTATGTGTTTTGTTTGGTTTTAGCTTTGAATCGTGTGAAGCATTGTTACGTAGCAGCGCGTTTGCTCCTACAAAACGCTATGTGCATGGTCCTTTCATCGTGGTAAAAGGGAGACGTGTTCAACACGTATGGATCTATCACACAATAAGTATGACAAAACAAAGATTTCGATAACACTGAAAACTAAAACTGGATGGTCTCTCTTAGACAATTTTTAACTTTCTCCAAAATTTTGAAACTATAATTTAGTATCCAAGTACAAAAATGTCCGTGTATATATTATATACATTAAAAATTGAGTTTGAATCCTTTTATAATCAATAGAGAAACAAAAAGGAACACTAATGTGTGGTAAAATTTGAATGTGTAGTTGGTGATGGGAGGCTTTGTTTTCTTTCAGTCTTAAGCTGAATTAAACAGGCAGATTAGCTTTCCTATTACCTCTTGAACTAGACCGTCTGCCTCTTCCACGCCTTCTAGGCGGCCTTGTACCGCCCGCTCTTCCACCTGAGACTTTTCTAGGCAAATCGCTGCTGATTAAAACTGGTGTAGTAAGCAGTGGAGGAGGCGGTGGTGGAGGAGGAGAAATATTAGGCACAGTCGGAGGTTTTCGCCTTGCGATTCTCTCTTGTTCTGCTCGATGATATCTCTGCATTTTGATTGTTTGATAAAAGTTAGGATTATCTTTACTACTTTAGCTTAAGCCAGCATGAAGAAGAAGAAGAAGAGATCAGTCACCTGAACTACAAAGTTGCGTCTCTCGCAGTCAAGGAACATGCTTACTGTCCAGTTTGTTTTTGCTTCAATCTTGTCTCTTACTGTTGAGAAACTGATTTGATCTCTCGAAGTGAATCGGTCTACTTCGTTGAACCAAAGACAAGTGAAGAGGTTGCTGATGGGAACATGCTCTCTTAAAATGACACAGCCCTCAGGCACATCTGTATAGCCCGACCAAAAAGTGTGTATACATTAAACTTTTTTATGCATTTAAGCAGATCCTTGGAAAAAAATAAGCCAAAGAGACATACCGCTTGTGATTGGGAGCTTTGCAACAGAGTAAGGGGTTAACCCTTCATTCTTGTAGAACTCCACCTGAAAGTCGATAGAAGCATTGTCATATTTACCAGCAGCTTTATTTGCTTCAGCCTCCACAAAGACATCAAACCGTCTATAATGTCTAGAGATTGCAAAAGTAGCATTCTTTCTCCACAAGAACCTGATGGAAAAGAGAGGTCAGTCTCAGATTGCTGCGGTTCTAAGGTCTTCTAAACTCAAAGCGTGAACTTAATTTTTAAGCATTTGAAAGTTAATGGAAGGCTAAGCACAACTAGCTAGCTGTTTCAGAAAAATCTATCTTAAAAAAAGGGTAGAACTAGCAGATTTTTACCACGATTACTCACTTATATGACTAGAGAAATATTCGTTATTCGTAAGGAAGCTGCATACATCCGCAAATAGATTAACGAAAACACTATATGCAGCATATCACTAGAGATATATCTCAAAAGATAAAAATATGATAGGCCTTACCTTTCAAGGATTTGATATGGATCGACGACAAGCTCAAGTTTTCCATCAATCCATAAAGAATATCTAGCATTTGGAAACATCCTATGGACAAGAAGCTTGGGGACCTACAAAGAGAACAAGGTATCAGCATATAAGTCGTCTTGATAACTGAATGCATCACAAGAAAAGAGATGTGGATTTTACCTTTCCATTGCGCCTTCCATCTAAATAAGGGAGATTATGCACAACAACAACTCTCCATATCCCTACTTTCTTGTTGCCGTTAAGGCCTCGTTCTCTCTTCAAAATTGTTTCAGTTCCTTCATCAACAAACATGTAGAAGCAAACTGTTTCTGCCGAATATTTACTGATATTTTGGGGGGCTTTTACATCATCAAAAGCATCTGAAAAGAGAAAGATTCTTCATCAGAAATCAGCAACAGGAAATAAGATAAGTATCACACCAAGCAGTACCAAATACGGCAGAAGCAACAACAATCCCACGGCATTCCTTCATTTCAAGAAGATCAGCCTCATCAATGTCAAACCCTGTATTTCGACCAGGTTGAGGTCCTTTAACAAACCTGATTGACAAATCATCGATGAGACATAACAAAAAGCAGACAAGCGGAATAAACAAGAGCAGGAAGATAACTAACTCACCCACAATGTACGCTCATTGTTTCTTGAATATCAAAAGAAGCATTCCTATGTTTCAAAGTAGGATAACCACCAAAATCAGAGCCTCCAAACTCTGTGTCTCTGTTGAGAGGGTCTTCATGTATATACGTTAAGTTCTGAAGAAGAGGAGAAAAGGACGGAGCAGTTGGCATCAAGGCAATTGCTTCTTCTACTGGAAGGTAACATACCGGGCATGCTGCAAACAAAACCAGGCAGATCAGATTAAAATATTCCTTACAACAACAACAATCGTGTGGTGATCTCAGAAAATAAAAATAGTCAAAAAAAAAGGAGACCAGAAATCAAGACTTACGGCGAGGCCCAGTTCTTTTTTTGTCGGCAGGTGGGGGAGGTAAGGTGAAAGTGTGACAAGGATGACCCTGAGGAAGCGTATAGCCAAGAAAATGTATAGGAGAAGGAGGAGCGGAGAGTATGACATTTTTTCCTAGAAAAGATATATTCCGAATGTTGATGTTTTGCTCTTCATTTGTGGGTAACAAGACAGAATGATTTACAAGAGAAGTGCCATTAAAATGAAGACTCGGAGGAACTTGAACTTCCTGACCATCTTCACCTGATCACAATGATTCCAAGTCCAGTGATTGTTCATAAACCTTTATATAAAAATCCACAAGAGCTCTTAAAGTATCCTTAGCATTACAATTCTAAGGCAAAACAAAACACATTGGTACAAAGAATACTCCAGAATCAAAGTTACTCCCAATTTAGAAACTAAAAATCCACAAGCTAAGCTAAAAGGTGTTACCTTTACCGGCGTAGAGGACGCGGAGGAAGACGACGGCGGAGATTAGGAAGAGGAGCAGCATGCCCACCTTCTTACGACCAGCGAATTTGCAGATCCAATGTACCCTCTCCTTGTGCATCATCTTAGAAGGTTTGGTACGATTCGTCGTGTGGATAGGCAAAACGACGGCGTAGAGACCCGTCTTGTCCAAGGAACCGTAGCTACTGGATCGAACGCCCAATCCAGTCATCTCCCCTTCCCTCCTTAACTCATTCTACCAATTCGTATGTTTCAGATCAAAGAGTTGGTTTTAATGTAAGAGCTCAGCTTTACTCTGAAATTGCAATCTGATCTTTTATACAAAATCCAGCTCAGACAGACACAACGGATCAAGAGAGTTAAATCAACAATCGGGGAGGGTTTGTGATTGGTGGATAGGGTTTTGATTCCTTTATAATTTTTTCAAAATCAGGATGGGAATCTCCGAGCAAATACATACACAGACAAACTTAACAAATAGACAAACTTAACAAAGACATTATTCCGCGTGAAATAAATAAATAAATAAAAAGGCAAATTGATTAAATTTTCTTCTTCTTCTATCCAATTTTGTCTATGTGTAATTTAATTATGTCTATAAGTTAACGCATTTAGATAATAGTCACTTAAAACATTATCTTTGTAAAAATAAAAGAGAGATAAGACAGTTAATATTTCATCTGTTTAAATATAAGTGATATTTTTATGAATAAAGAAAATACTGTTAGATTTGGGTAAGAACTAAAACTATGAAAACTGAAGCACGTTGATTATTTTTTACTACGACATATAGGTAAGAATTTGGTTATAGAAATTGAGTTTTACTAGATGTCTTTTTGTGAAATTTGAAACTATATTGAACGTAAGGTTGGACATTTCATCCGTTAAATTTTGATCCGATGTTATTCTTTTTTATTCGATCCAAAAATTTTAGATATCCATAAATCATCAAAATAAAAAAAATATTAAAATTTAATATCCGTTAAAACGAAACATGCAAGCAACTAGGTGTTCAATTCGTTCTGACTTTTATACAAATTAATTAGGTGTTTTGTCCGCACATGCAAGCATAATTTTCGTACAATTTATTATTAGTCTATATTTTATTAATTTAAACCAATATAATAAGTTATGATTTATGTTTTAAAATTAATTATAAATTAGAACACTCACATAACAAAATATTTTTAAAAATATATTTTTACAAATGTGTTACTTTAATTTATTTTAATTATAATTTTTTTCTTTCTTAATTTTTTATTTCTATAAGAAAATATATATTTTCAAGATAACAATATAATACATAAGAAGTATCTTAATTTCTCCGAATATAAATTTTAATAGAAATCATTTTTATTTATATGAAATTATTAAAAATATGACAAATAATCAAAATTGTCTAAATCATGGAGAAATTACAAATCAGATAATTCACTTAAATTTTCTAATAGAAAATATATGTTCAAGATAACAATCTAATACATAAGAATTATCTTATTTTTAAATCTAGTATTATTAATATACATTCGTTTTATTATTTAATAAATTATATATGAAATTATTAAAATATGATAAGCAAAATATAAAACCATGGAGAAGTTGATAAATCAGCATTGTTTCTTTATATTTAACTATTAATATTTTAACTTAATTTTTAATTTCTATGGTTTTCTAAATATATTTCAAAGATAACAATATAACACATAAGAATTATCTTATTTTCTAAAAGTCTAATATTATTAATAGAAATTCGTTTTATTATATGATAAATTATTCATAAAATTATTAAAAATATAACAAATAAACAAAATTACAAAATTACAAAAATCATGGAGAAGTTACAAAACAATCAGTAAATTCACTTGAATTTTATAATACAAAAATATATTTTAAGATAATAATTTAATACAAAATAATTAACATATTTTCTAAAATATAATATTATTAATAGAAATTCATTTTTATTAAATAATAAATTTTATATGAAATTATTTAAATAAAGTAAATAAAAAAATTTATCTAAAATCAAGGAGAAGTTGACAACTAAGCAAATTTAATTCTTATATAATAGTATAGATGTATATATATATATAACTAAATATAGAGTTTTAAATGTGTAATTTTATATAATCATTATATAACATATATTTTTATTAATTTTGTTTGTAAAAATTCTTATAAAGGTATTAAATTAAGAAAGGAATGTCAGATATTTATAAAAATTACAATTTTTTAAAAAATTTTTGTTTTATCTAAATAATGATTAATTTTAAAATTTATGGAACACATAATTTCACTAATTTTTTATTATGTTAAAGATAGTGTTGGAAAATAAATTTGTATTATTTTTATATTTATTTTGTTTAAACAAACTATATGAAATATCTGTAAATATTCAAAAAAAAATTGAATATCCAACAAAGAAAAATCGGAAAATCATATGTCCATAAAAAAAGAAGCAAAATCACAAATACGGAAAATTATGATATTATCCGATCTGTACTCACTCCTAATCGAACGATTATAAAGGAAATAGGGCGAACTGTTACTGCTGAGTGGACGTGGAAATAACATATAATATAAGGTATTTTCCTGATCGAACGATTATAAAGGAAATAGGGCGAACTGTTACTGCTGAGTGGGCGTGGAAATAACATCTAATATAAGGTATTTAAAAATTTGGGTATTATTATGATTGTCTAAATACTCATGTAAGCCTCATTACAGAGTTGTGACAACTAAGTTTTTAAATAAAGTTTGAAATTATTTATTTAAACACTCACTACCTAGCAGCAGCCATCCATGAATCCTGTCATTATTAGTCTCATCTATCGCACTAAATTATACTACAAAATAAATCGTTGAATTTCTTTGTTTTTCTTTTGTTTCCAGTACATAGTTTTTTTCGTTTTTTAATGTTTATCTTAGATATGTTAATTTGTTGGAGAACCGCTTTGGATGCATATCCCATATTAATATCCTGAGACTGATTTAAAGGGGACATAAAGAGATTCTGTGAGTGTTGGTCTGAGTCTTTGAGGACGAAACCAAATTTTTAAATCCTAATTATTTTTAGATTAATATGATGGATTGATCCCATACCGGTCAGAAAGGTCACAGCTACCATGTAGCTAGGGCTAACTTTAGCTTTGGCATGCCCATCGTTGTTGGATTTCATGTACCAGTGCAAGCAGGGGCATATGTATTTTGCAACGAACAAGGTCACTGCCCCAACTAAAATTTAATTTTCTTTAAGCAATCATCATAAAACTAGCTCAACTTTATAAAAAAATGCCTTTGTATCACTCAAAATTCATGCTGATATCCCCAATTAAAACATCTCCTAGATCTGTCCCTGAAAGCCAGAGCCAGTTGTAGCATTATAGAGGCTAAAAGCAAAATTAAAAAACGTGCATGAAATTCTTTCCCTCAGAAATGAACTACTAGACTAAAAAGACTTCTGAAAGATTTGTGGCCACTATTTAAATTGGAAGCATGGCTTTATCCGCTTAGCACAAGGACAGGCACTGCTGAGTACAAGTGAACACACCCAAAAAAAAGCTACAGTGAAAGAACTTTTGGATGTTAAGATCAGGGATGTACTTAAAGATCATGAGTCATGAGGAGGACATCCCATCTAATAGTTGGAACCCAGGTTCTAAAACCGGACGTTTCGGCGATTAATCGCCCGTCTAAACACTTTGCGGGTGAACACCGCCGCGATTTGAGCGAATCGGTCAAACTAATTGAACTGCTAAAAAGTTAGAACTTTATTGTCAAATATTTGGACTCTAACAAGCCCATTTGATTGACGAAATTTTGGGAGGTTTTGTCCATCTATTTATAAGGTCTTCAAAGACGTCTCCCACTCAAATTTAGTTGATGTGGGACAAAGATTTGTTGTTTTTAATTTTTTTTTCCTTAAATGGTACAAATAAAAACGAAGCATATATATAAATGCTTCACAGAAGAATCGGACCTTCCACCCCTGAAAGCTATAAACGCATAGCGAACCACTGGACCATGCTCTTCTAATACATAACTTTCACATATAAAATATATATTTATAGTTATAATTAAATATTTTAAAAATTATTCTCCGATTAGTCTTCGATTAATTTCCGATTAATCAGCTAGGTGATAGTCCCAACTCGAACACCCAACTAGCGGCTAACGAGTCTTAACAAGAAAAAAAAACCTGCATTCATATAACCATAATAATTTATTTCGGAAATATTTGGAACAGAAAAAGGGAAATTTGATCTCATGCACATAGCTTACAAAATATTAAGTCTATATCCATAATAATAACATGGCTATGATATGTTAAATAATGTTCTATGAATATCCAAAAACACCCTTCTGTTGCGCGTGAAAATGAGAAACGCCACCATGATTAACCTTTCCCTAGAAAATGAAAAGCCAGAAACTCCCTTTTCCATTTGCTTTCTCATAGGAATAGCAATTTTGATAGACCGGTTGTGAGAAGTAGATTTTGGGTTCTCTATTGCAAGATGGAGGTGGAGCCGGGTACCGGCAAGTACCGGCAATTTCAGTCGGTTACGAGAAGAAGTTCCAGAAAGAATGTTAGGATTTCAGCGCCGATATAGTTTCTTGCGAACTGTTGAAAAGGAACCGATTCCATAAGAAATGAAGGCATCAAGGTAAATCTGTTCATTTTTCCATAGTAGTCGATCTTATCAGTTTCAAATCCATCCCGCCGTGAGTTATGGCCACTGACATCAGAATAGTGGTTTAATAGTTTGCAGATCTAGGTATACGGAGATCCAGCCGGCGGAGAAAAGGTACAGAAAAATGGCAATATTTGGCTGGCTAAAGCAGTACTAAGTAGATGCATGTTGTTTCATGTGTTGTATCCTCTGTGCACAGAAACCATTTTCTGGATTTCTGTATGTGGGAGAAGATGATTTGGCAAGTAAATATGACTAGACTATATAGTGTCGTTTATAGTATAGAACCTTAGTTTATGGTATCTATAGTCGTTTAAATGGATATATACTAGTACGAAACTGTTTATTTATGGCCTGTCTCTGGAAAATTGATGTTACGAACACCAAGATTATACTATAGTAGTCGTTTATAGTAAATAACCTTGGTTTGTGCTATTGGTAGGCGTTTATATGGATATTTATTATTAAGAAAATGTTTATAGTATAGTTATACATGTTTAGGTAACACATAAATTTGTAAATGTGTCTCTATCTATGTGTGGTTGTTGCTGCTTCAATCTTTAAACGTAATGTGTTTAGTTTCTTTTTTATATAACATATGGTGAGAGTTTCTAGGAAAAGTGATGTTACGAGCAAAAATACTATACTATAGCTAGTCGTTTATAGTATAAACTGATTAGTTGTATTTTAGTGTAGTTTGCTATGTATTCATTTGTGAATGTCTAATGGTGACGAATGTTTGTATACTCTACATGTACTATATGTACAATGTCAGTAGTATAGTTTAAAAGTTCTGGTTGTGTCTTTCAACAAACATATTTGTTAAACTATGCAGTGTTATTAAAAAGTTTAGCAAACTGAGATATATATTCCAAGTAGTTTAGTATTTACTTACCAAATTTGAAGCACCTCTAGTTGTGGGATTGCAAACCACAAGTTTTTGGGTCATCGGAGATAGTGATTTATGCTGAACCTATACTATTAAAACTACTTAATAGTATAGTTTATTCGCAATATTTGGTGTTATTATTGCTGATACTATAGAACACAGGTCAATACACTTTTTATAAGGTTCCTCCTAGTGTTATTTTAGTGTAATATGCTGTGAAGCCATTTTGTGTGCGTACTAACCTCGCTTATTTGATTTGCAGTAATATAATGGAACTCCTCAAACTAATGGTGAGGAACTACCTTTAGGTAGACATGTGAAAAGGGTAAATCAGAGAGTAAGCTTGTACGTAGAGATGGAGCTGCTTAGAAAGCGATTTTTGGGAGTGAGGATAAGATCACGCCAGAGTAGAGCGTAATTCGACTGGCAGTTGGTAACAATTACAACGATAGTATCTCATTTTCGCTCTTCAACCCCAACCAACTTTCGAAATGGTTCGATGGTGACCTATATTGTACTTCTTTTATTAGTTGCTCCTTATAATTTATCGGTTTTCCTATGCTTTGCTACTACTTCCCCCTCTCATTTACTGAGGAGGATCTGAACAAGTGTGATATTTAGGAAATTATGTATGGTTGATTAAATACTAACCACTTATTTGTTGGTTTCCCTACATTGTTTACATAGGTGAAAATATTTTATTTTTGTGTTGTTTATGCACCTTATGATTTTCGGCACAAAAACTAGACTATCTATTTTAATGGTGTAGTATAGTTTTCCCTATGTTAACTCACACAATGTACCAAATATTCATGTTCCTACTGGGTCCTACGTATAATAATAAATAAGTACTCATGGCTTGTAAAATTTAAGATTAATTTGATTATTATACTATATAATTTATAATATAGTATAGTTGACAAATAGACATATGTGACACTGAGTTTGTATACAGATTTTTTTATAGTAGATTTCACCAATTAAAATCCTCTTAAGTTCATAAGTTTAATTTTATATTTCTTTTTCCAAACAATTCATTTACGCACCAGATACACCATAACTATTTCTTCTCCATAAGCTATGCAATTTTGTATGTGATATGTTGTGTTACGATTTTGACTGTATTATAAACATGTGTAGAATAGTATAGTTTGTTGGATGTTCGAATACATGTAGGTGTATAAACTTCTCTTCTATAGTCGCCACTAAGTTGGAGATCCTTTAGTTCACCCGTGAAGCATGTGTATCTTCTTTCATTGGTTTACACACTTTTAATCTTTTTTCACCCCATATTTAATATTTTTTTTTCTTCTATACCATTTGGATAAAGAATGTGGTATAGTATAGGATATGATATTACCTTTTAAAATCTTTCTCTTTTGCTTCTCTTTCTCTTTCATGGGACCTTGGTTTTTTAAAGGTTTTTTAGTAAGCGTTTTAAAAGTTGTGTGGCTACTTTGGAGTAACGTTTTGAGAGAGTTCCTGCATTGGGTTGTGTATATTTAGAATGTCGTATTTGGTTTGGTTTAATATGGTAACGTTTCTATAGTTTTGAGTCGTTTTTTATATTTGTTAAATATTTGTAAGTAGTTGTAGGATTTTGTGGATTTCTAATTTAGTGTATGCTTATATTAGAGAAAGTAAATTTGACCAAGGACATTGGAAAATATTAAATACGAACATAGATGTTCAACTTCAACGGAAAATACGTAACGACGGAATGAATAGTTGAAGTAGAATGTGAATGTGTAAATGTGAATGTGTAGACATCATCTAGGTTCTGTGGAAGACGTGTTTTACTCTAGGAGATCATTGAAACCCATTATCGTATTGTAGAACTCGTTTAGCAAAACGAAGTGAAAACAATGTGAGCAAACTGTCTTCTCCGTCCCAACGTGAGGATGGCAGTAGGGTGGTGGCCACATCTTGATTATTGAGTTCACACACATATCCTTCATGTGTAGTACTGGGCGTGGAAGGGATTGATGAAAATTTTCCATGCAATCTTCGAGTTGTTAAATACCTTTGTCATCAGTGAGTTTGTTTATGGTTTTGACCCCTTTGTCAGTTTGGCCGATGGCCATAAGTAGAACACCGTAAACGTACCTTCCTAGGATGTGACCACCCTTGGAGGCGACGTGGATGTGGTGTAGACCCAGTGAAAGATTTTGAGAGTGGAAGACTTCTAGCATACCTTTGACATAGTGAGCGCCCACATTGTTTACCTTGAGGCAGTTGTCAAGCAAGTTTTGGTACCGGTTTGCTAAAGCAGGTTTCTTGACGATAGGTGAGAGGTTTAGATTTACTTTTTTTTAGTTCCAGATGACGACGGCGCCGTTGGCACATTAACCAAGCTTTCACTCCTCCGGGAGCTCCCTTGAGATGCTTTCATTGGCTCGACGACAGAAGCTTTGACCATGTGTTTCCAAAAGTTCTAAATCATAGATACGAAAGAAATTGTTTCACAGAAGATGTCAGTGGAAAAAACAAACAGAGTAACGTTTGCAAGGTCTAAATTTGCTTGGCCAAATGCCTGACTATATGTTTGCTCATTTCATTTGAGAGGTCAATAGACGAAATAGAACGGTTACCTTTTTCCCTGAAGCAATCATTAAAGTATATTTCCAGTGTTTCACCCTGAATTCAATCATAAGGTAAAGTCCAATAATTCTATAACATTTCTAGAGGTTTAGGCTTCCGGGTGATTTTTTCTGAGCTTAACGTTTTTGGCATTCTCATTATATGAAATGGTCAGTACGTTTCAAACTTTGGAAAAATAGTTATATTATAAGTGGATCGTGTATGTAAATGGAAGCGTTCCTTTGCAGCTGTGTTTTTTTTTTAAAAAATATATATAATCTAAATGGTACGTCAAGTATTCTTTACATCACTTACGTTCTTAATTGTACATAACTTATTCTTTACATGAACCTTTAAACAATTAAAGATGGCAGCCATTTTGCAAGGATTGTAATTCAGTAGAAGATAGAACATTATATGAATTTTTCTTAGCCTTTGAACACAATACAGAGACTTGTTTTTAAAATACTTAGGTGGTGGATATAAATATAATTTATGTTCTCAGCTTCGAAATTTAAATATGTACAGATGCTATGTTTGTAACCTGTTAGATGTGTTGAAGTTAGTTTAGTAGTAGCAACTAAAGCAAACGAATAAAGATTTTTTCATAGTGAGTTTGACGATGCCAGCAAAAGAATTTAGATAATGGTAGTAGACTTTATTATATTAAAAGAAACGACCAACCACAACACCGAAATTTGAAAAAAAAAAACAGAAAACTAAACGGAACTAAAGGTAATAAAGTTTAACGCGCGAAACTAACAAAAATGAAACATGCAAAGCTAGAGAAGTAGTGGTTGATCAGGGTTGTCATAGCACTCATTTCACACGGTTTTTTTGGGTGGATTTGGAGACGTGATGGATTCGACTACGGCTTTCCCTGAGTTGCTACCTGTTGAGCCAGAACCTGATTCAAAAGCCTCAGGGACTGCTGTTGCAGCATCCCCTTCACCTTCCTGGCATTGAAAATGGCAAGCAATAAAAAAGGATGGAAGGAAAAGGACCAACACGCTTAGTAAACGTGGGGTTTGGTGCTAGCTCTCGTGCTGGAAAAATCCGTGATATGGTGAAGGTTTGGTGATTTGGAGTGAAGTTGAAATCTGTTAACTTAAGCTGAAAAGTGTAGGTCCTATCAACGACAGCTGCTAGAGACCGAGGGATATCAGTGTCAACTGCAGCATGAGCGCCAATCCCCTAAAGCAAGTTGCAGTAAAGTTTGTTTAATCTATGACCAAAGGAATAGTAAACATAAGTGTAAGAGGAACGTTTAAGATATACCACTATCTGCGCAGCCTCCAAGGCCAGTACATTAGTCAGTTTAGCAACCTCTTTATCGAAGCCAACAAACGCAGCTGTGCCTGTGGCGTCGGACACAGAAAAGACAACTCGATACCTGTTGGACATTAAATTTGTGTTAGTTTAGTAATCTGTCTGAAACAAATTGGCAATTTGCACTACAAACCTGAGCTCAGCTATAGAATTAGGTAGATTGCATGAGACGCAGGTGAATGATGTTTCCTCCCGGAGAAGTTTCTTAGAACAAATGGAGCAGCCAATGTAACACCATCCATCATCTAGCTGAACACCAGTAATGTTTGCAGTACAAATAAACTCTATGATCTGATAGCACATGTAATCAAATTTCAGTTTTTAGAATTTTAGTATGGGAGGCAAGCCTAATGATTTGTATTTATACCTGAGGATCACCGGTTAAGACAAAGTCGTTAAGCTCTTTAATGGTGAGGGGCTCGATCTTTTGAGCATGAACCACCTTCGATGACGACCCTTCCTGGTCCACACCACCCCAGGCAAACTGTATTGAATTTAAGAGGACAAACAGTAAACAGTGTGAGGCTGTGAAGTACACCTTTCAATTGATGCAGAGTTAATTAAAAATTCAAAAACAAAGCAGTAAACATCGAGGTCTCATAATAGTGATAGATTGAAAAACTTGCCGGTTGTATGCCTCTTTCCCAACAGTGCCATTGAGATATAACCTCCCTGCGGGAAAATGACAATGCGTTATCAAGGAGAAGAGGAGTATGACAATCTTAGGCTCCTTCCCGTAAGCGTCAAACTTGTCATGGAATGCAATAGCCAAAGCATCAAACATACTCACGCAGACTTCATCATCACTTTTAAAATTTATCGTAACAAATCACAAACAAAGTGTTAACTCAACAGCCCATACCCAATAAAAGGATAGGAGGCAACGCTTATTACCTTGCCATTCTTATTGTCAGCATAACCCGATGTGCTCCTGGAAGACGATCAGTGATGGTGCTCTTCAGCACACGAAGCTCACCCATAAAGTCTACAAAGCATACAATGGGAAAATTAATTGTCTTCTAAGGAAACCACACACAACAAAACGTTTTCATTAATAGTTGGAAATAATTACCAGGCAGCTGTTTCCCACTATTTGCAAGACCACGGATCTGTCCAAATGGTTGGAAGCGGAAAAACTCTGTCGGTATTGTCCTTGTAATTGTTAGTAGCTTTTGGAAATCAGTCCCCTCATTGAAACGGATGGCTACAGGACCGTCAGAAAGCCTGTATTTTTAACTGCTTCGTGTCACATCGAACCCACTCAAACGGTACAACGATCCTTCAGATAATCGGGACCGGAAAGTTTGCTGGAAGGAAGCAGGAACAGATCCTTGCACCAGCGTAGACTGTTCAAATCAACCAAACGAAAGAATTAGAACAGCATAAACAAATCAGATTTAAATGGCTTTGTCTTTCATCGTTATTGTAAAACCCAAAAAACAGAATTAATTGAACTACTTTTATTTAGCAAATTAGAAATCCAGTCAACCCAAAAACAGAAAGACTTCAATTAGTTCTATTTAGAAAAATATAAAGTGATTGAAGAAAAAAACGACTGTATGAGATTGGAGAAGAGCTTACATCCTCGTCGATCAGCAGCATCTCGATGCTGATCAATTGGTTTTTTTTTATGAGGTTCCTGGCCTCCCAGAATCTCAGGAGCTGGATCTCAGCCGAATTCGAGCATCTCCCAGCCTTCAAGTCAGCAAGTAATGTGTATGAATTAGCCATCGCTAGCTTCTTTTCGAGTTTCAGAGTTTCTTGATTTGTTTTGTCTTGTGATTTTCATCTTCACAGGGACCGGTATTTATAAGTGAGATGAAGTCGGTTTGTCAGAAAGCGAAGAGTTGCTCAGCAAACTTAAAGAGAGAGGCGTGTTTCACTCGACTATAAAATCGAAATAAATGAAAGGAGAGGGGAGGCGTTACAGTTCAGAGTTGATGTTAGGGTCTCTGATATGACAGAGGAATGACATGGATGAGAAGCAGAAAAGTCGGGGAAGAAGAAAGATATTTCCTCACCGCCGTATAGCTAAACACGGGCCTAAAGCTAAACACGCGAGTTGGGCTTAAAGTTTCATAGAAAGCCCAGTACGTTTCATAGGAAGTCCAGAATCGCAGGATTTTAAAAAAAAAATTCCAACCACTCAGACGACGACATGTGTTGAAAAACCCCCCTATCAAAGCTGAGACGTGGACTCTTGTATAGGCAGATAGGTGAACTTTATTATAATAGATAGATTCTCTTTTCTGATTATGTATATCTCACCTAATCACCCATAGAAAAAAGTATTTTGACTAAAAGAAAACTCAAATCATAGCAAAATTTTGATTAGTCAACACACATAAACCCAAAATTATACCGGAAGGAACCGTTCCGGTTAAACATGATCGGGTTCTAATTGACTCTTTCCTTAAGAGAAAAAAAAAGAACAGATTCTTGTTCCGCGCAAATCTGTGGAAGAAAGAAAGAAAAAAAGATGGAGAAGAAGCAAAAATCAGAGATATCGTCAACGGAAGCAGTTCTTCTCGGAGCTCTAGCTCCAGGCGTAAATGTCAGTACTTCCTTTCTTACCCTTTTGAGTAGATGCTCTGTTTCTTTTTTGTTATAAAACCCTAGTTGGATCGGATCTGTTTTTACAGGCTCCAACATGGAACGCTCTGAGATTCGCGTTTCTTCTGCTGGGTCTTTGTCTCACTTTCATGCTCTCCATAGCTTTCACCAGTGGCCAATCCATGCTACTTGTTCACGTTGGCTTCCTCATTGTAATCGCATCTTCTCTCTTCGTCCTCCTCAATTGGTATGTCAATTTCATTACTTTCTCCATTGTCTTAGAGTAGCTGATCAACCCTTTGAGTTGTTGAATTTTAGGATTCAGACATTTTTTTTATTGGTGGTAGCTACTTGTTTTGTCTTTGTGTGGACAGCTTAAGGTGTTCTGTTTCATGCTAGTACTTATGCATCTTGGTCTTTGTGAAAAAATAAAGGAAAGAGATGAATGTTGTCGAAAATATGGAGGCTTTAGCATCTTGAATAGCTTCTTATACTTTACCTAGTTGCTTACCGGAGACAATGCCTTTCTTCTGCAGGTTTCTTGCTCAGACCGGGTTAGTACCAGTTGAAACACAAATGCAGGAGCTGAACTTGGCACCTACTGATAAAAGCAATTAATCAAGCACCAAGCTATGTTTTTGGTTACTCAGACGTAGACACATAGTGACAGAACATTCATTAGTAAAGATATAAAGCAATTACGAGGATTGGATTGGTGCAACCAGAAAAATTCACTTTTATCTTGGAAGTATACAATCAGCTTCTGCTTTCCTCAAACTCTATTCTTGTTTTATTTTCTTTCTTTGGCTTGAGGATGCAGAAGCACGAACAGCAAGGGTACACAAGAACATCATCTTGATCAGGGTTTGGTTTTGCTGAATTCTCCAACACTATCTCCTTTCCTTTGTTTGTAATTCTCGGAAGCTATTCCAGACTAAGTTTGGTCCTTTCATGTAAGAAGATGATTATTGTTTACAATGGATTCAAAGGTTGAACTCAAATTCATCCCTCAAGTAAGAAACAAAAGAACTTGCAAAAACTTATGAAGTTTATTTTTTTTATGGGGATTATGTACAACCAAACCTTTTCTTGTTATGTTTTCATTCTCTTACAAAATTGAGCAACAAATACAAGGAAACAAGATGCTAACTATAGGTTATTACAACTTCCCAACTTGAGACAGTTTTCTTACTTGTGCATCTCTCTAGTTGTTCATATATGCAGGAGAAGGTTTTCTTAACCTCTGACCATTCTCATTGAGCTCTTTCTCTCTCAGGTACCGAAGAAACGGTCCAGGGTCATCACTGAAGCCATAAGCCTCTTTTGTGCTTTGTTGACCGTTGCTGAACTTTTGTCCTCTAGATTCATGGTCTTCCATGTAGAGCTGAGGATAAAACATTGAGTTTTCAGAAGAGATTATCGACTGATCATCTGGTGTGCCGTACCTAGCTAAGAGACTAGACTTGGAATACCCATTAGCCAAGAAGTTTCTCAGATTGTTTGTCCCCTGACCCTGGTAAGAATAGGCTGGTCTAAGATTCTGGCTTTCTCTGTATCTACGCAACCATTCAGAAGAAGAAATCCCAACAACTGGTGGGTTTGTGTATGACTTCATGAAACCAGGTGGTTCCATATATCTTGTCTGGTCTGCTTTGTTCATACTAACACCATTGTGAAACCAAGAAGCATCTTCAGGCAGTAATGGAGCAGACGGAGTAGGAGGTGAATATGAAGAAGCAGGACGCTCGGTTCTGCTATTAACTGATAGACTGTCAAAGGATGTCACAGGACCTGTTTCATCAATAGGGCTTAAACCATTTGGTTTACTTTTCTCTTTACTCTTGTCAACTACCCACGCGCTCAGTGATGGTGGTCTTTCTGAGATGCTGCGTTCTTCTAGATGCTGAACTGTATTCTTAAGACCTTGCGTGAAGCTGAAACTTTCAGAGTTAGTATCCTGTGAGCTATGGTTCACGATGAGTGATGAGGTACGTCTTAGGCTTTCATCAGACGAAGTTGTTTGATTTCCTGAAGCTGTGTTATCAGAGCTGATTGGCTTCGTTGCAATGCCAGAAGAAGAGATTGGAGCAGATTGACACCTTACGAGCGGCTTGAGAAGAATGACTTCTTCCTCTTCTGCAGGCACAGATCTTTCATTCCCACAAGGGATGATCTCAACTTTTCCAATAGTAACACGTTTTCTGTTGCTTCCATCTCCATTTCTGTGAGAGAACTCTTCTTTGCATTGTCTTTCACCTGAAGTTGTGTAGAAACGAGTCCCTTGCTTGTCAAAGAGTAACCACTTTTGAGAACCCTCCTTCTGTTTACTTGTGATCTCAATAGCGGAATTAACAATCCGTTGAAGACGAAGCTCTCTACCTCTTTCAAAACTCTCTCTTAGATCCATATGACTTGAGAAATCTAGAAGCAGATATATCGGAGCCAGAGGAGCCAAAGACCTCAGTTGATGATCCTCCCAAAGAGCTACCATCACTTTACCAGAACAGTTTTGTCCTTTAACCTTTAAGCTGTTCAAGAAATCAACTAGTTTGCTAAAGAAGTAAGAGATGGCAATCTCGCTCTTCTCCTCAAGTCTGCATTCTTCTTCCTCTGCCTTGTGAAGCAGAAACGGTAAGTAGTCAAGAAATACAAGTAGAGCAGGTAAGAGAGGGCAAGAATCCAAGGGACTCGTCTCCAAACATCTCTCAACAACTCTCCCCATGATGATGAACACCATTGTTAATGCTAAGTTTGTTAGCTTTACATCCTCTTTTGCGTTGTCTGATTCATTAAACTCGGCTAAGTTGTGGAAGATGAAGACGAAAACCGCAACAAGTTGGAGGATTCTATAAGGTCCCTTTCTTGCTGAGTCCATAACTTGATAAGACTCCAACATGGCTTCTAGGTTTCTATCATCTGCTGCAAAAGCTTCATCCAGTGCTCTCATGGTTGATGCAAATGTGCAACCAAACTCATCAAAACTGAAACAATCCGTACAGAAAGAGTCATCAAGATCTTGAGTTGAAAGAACCGTAAATGTAGAACTTCAGTGAAACGTTACTCAAACTGACCTGGATTTAAGGAAGAAGAAGCTAACTGTTCGAACAACCAGTGGCCACAAATCAGTTCCAGCCTTTAATTCTCCTTTTGCTTTTGAGAAATCAAAGTCTTTCACAATAACATTTCTCTCTGATGGGTTTAAGAAGTTAAACTCTGCATCAGTAGATAGAGACTGCAGAGGGGAAGACCTGATCTGCAGTAGTTTAAACAAGCATTGTGAGCAACATAAGGCAAATACAAACTAGTTGCAACTAGTAGAGAGAGAGAAAGTATGAGTGAATCAGTTCAGTTACCTTCTCAAACAACAAAAGAAGATTGTTGGAAGCACCAGGAAAAGGTTCTTTCACAGCTAAGCTTCTCACACAGTGGTAAAGAGCCAGAAACTCATCACCAACATAAGTGGCCAATACAGCTAGCTACTCAATTGCAAGAAAAAAAACACTTACAAAATGGCTAATAAACAAAAAAAGGAGCAATGAAAGAAGAATCAAGTTACCTGGTTATGAGGATTACCACTATCAGGCCAAGACTTTGCAGCTTCAAGATAGTATGTAGCTGCAGTTGACCAATTAGAATGTCCATGTGTTTTCAGATGCTGTTCTTTATACCTTTCAAGATCTCCAAGACATATATAGAAACGATGGCATAAGAATCTGCTTTTTCCTCCAGATTCCTCAGCTCTGACTTTGGAAATTAGATTCTTGTAAAACTCTGCAGCTCTTAGCAGAAACAGCTTGAAGGCTTTCATATGAGTGTTTGACTTGTCAGGATCATCTGCTTTGAGGCCTTTACGAAACTCATCTATGTGTTTATAGTGAAGCTTCCAGAGACAGAACTCTACTTCTTGAAGCTCTTCTTGTTGGAGATTGCTTTTAAAGATTTGCTCGTAGGTGGAACCTGTTTTCGTGTATAGCTCTGAAACATCAGGATGCAATATACCCTTTGTATGGATTAATGTCCATAGCTGTTTCTCAATGTTGCTCACCTGAGAAGACATCATTAGTAAGATTCTTATAAGCTAGAAAAGCATCAAAATGGTTTTCACTTTACCTCTACAAGAAAATTACTTTTGGATGCTTCCATCTTCTTTGGAATCAGACAAAGATCTCAAAGATGTGTTTGACAAGTGACAAGAGAGCACGAAAGCATCCTGAGAAACATTGAAAACGAACAAAGATTAAGAATTTTCTCATAAAACAGTAGTGAAGAAAAATTAGGAACCAGACACTGTGGATATTACAAAGCAAGCTCATGAGTGTTTGGTCTACAATAAACTTGATAGGCTCAAAGTCACAAGCTTTGACTGAATTTAAAGAAACCCAGACGATAAAATCTCAAAAAGACTTAAAAGAGTTACAGCGACAAAAGCATCCGAGAGAAGAACACACATCAGATGGAACTTAAGAGATATCAACATCAGAAAAGCAGAGTAGAGAGGGGAAAAAGAAAATCGGAGGAGAGACTGAATCTTTAGATGGAAAGCGAGAAGATGAAGACGTTACCAGAAGAAACTTGGACGTACGGACGTTTAGACAGGAACAGCTTAAGGCAGAAGAAGCCAAGCTAAAGTGTATATCACATGGAAGAGAGAGAGAAAGAGAGATTGGTCAGTTGTGAAACGGACAAAGTAGAAAGGTAGCTGATAATGATAATGATAATGATGATGCTGCTGAATTGATGATGATGATGATGTAGATGCAGAGGTGGATACATATCTAATCCATTAGTCCACTCTTTCTAAGTGCCCCCAACATTTTGAGTTTGTTTCTCTTAGAAATGATTTTCCATGAATGATTTTCTTAACTATGCTAATTAATTTTCAATTGTTTAGGTTAACAGGAGTTACGGAGCAAATCAATTTTACACACTTTTGTAGATTTCTTGACGTTAAAGCCAAACTTTCTTATATTTTTTAATATATGTTGTCATGACTTTAGCTTAAGACGAGACTTGATCTAGATGATAAGCGATTAAGAAAAATAATGGGACCACCAAATATTTTAGACCATCAAATTTCTTTTTTTACTTTTGTTATGATTATTAGTTTAATACAATCTTTTAGGACCACCAGAAATTATTTCGTACTAAAATAAAAAATATTTCGGTTTAATACTTTACTAGGTGATTTTCCCGTGCTCATGCACGGGTATGAATATTCATAAAAGTAAAATTTAATAATCATTGATTGATATTTAGTTTTAGTTTTAGTTTTGAATCAATTTATATGTATAATTTATATGTATAATTTATATTAATAAATATTATATTATTCTAATTATACATATGACTTTGGATATATTATTGGTGGTTTAATTATTATTTTGATCAATAGTCGGTTTGGTTATTAATTTGGTATATTGGATAATATCTATTTTTCAAATTCAACTATAATATTTTAATTCTAAATAGAATAAAATTTTGATTAATTTTCTTATTTTTATTTCGGTTGATTATTATCTTTAGATATGTAAATATATTATAGTCAAATTATGTATAACTTAATATATATTGTGCTTAAAATGAAATAAATAATAAGCTGACGTTTGATTCAAAATTACATAAATAAATATAATGATAATATTTTAAAGTCTCATGCATATAAATTGAGTAATATATATTTTTTTAATACGCTTTAAGTAAATCTCTAATTTATATGTATAAAATTAAATATATTATTATTATAAAATTAGAAGATGTTTAATTTTGGGTATAAATTAGATCAGTCGAGTCATTCATTTTGTGAGTATATTGAGTTAAATATATTTTTAAATTAAAATTGAAGTATAATTACTTTTTATTTTAGTCAAGTCATATCAAATTAGTTTTATTTATCGCTTAAATATACATGTATTTTCATTATATTTATTTACTCTTTATTTTAGTTAAGTCAAATCAAATTAGTTTTATTTATCGTTTAAATATACGTGTATTTTCATAATATTTATCAAATTATATGTTGATTTCTAAAAAATATTAGAAAATAAAGTGTAACTGAGAAATTTTTAGATGTTCATGAACATATATATATTTTTATTATTATAAAAATATATTTATGTTATTTAAAATATATTAATGGGGATATTACTATTTTGTGAACTTTCCTTTTCAATAAAGTACTATTATATACAGTACATATATTTTCGTTTTAAAATTTGTTTTAAAATTTTAGGAATATTTCCTTTTTATTATATATGTTATTTGGAAAAAGGTAAAAAAATAAATAAAGAAAAAATAATTTTAAAATCTAATAATTCATGAAGGGTATCTATGTAATCAACCATCGCGAGAGTTAACGTGAGCACGACACGTAGGAAACTGACTTCTCAAATAATATTATAGAGATGCCTTACTCTATACGATGTTTTAACCAAGAGGGCAATAAGATATTTTAGTTTTTTTTTGACATTGGAAAGAGTATTTGGCATTTAATCAAAAACAATTTAACTATTTTAAAAAATATTGCAGAATAAAGGTGATTACGAAGATCAAATAATTCTATTTTGCATAGAAAGTTGTAAAAATATCTTACAAATTAAAACAAAAAGACATTGTAAACACCTTATATTATGCGGTAAGGAGTGTACTTAGTTATTTATAATATTATTAAAAACATTATTTGAGATTTTGAATTAATAATTACGAAGATTCTATACATTTTTAGTCAAAGTCTTCTGCTAACACTTTATATTCTATTTTTTTATAAAAAAAGATATCACAACTTTGCTATGAATTCACAGAATCTGATTGATAATGGTTATAGTTTTAAAAAATTTAATATAAAAAAAATTGTAAATATTTTACTATTATTTTAGATTTTAGTGCTGTAAATTTTTATAAAAAAATTAAAATAATTACTGTGAATATTTGGTTCTCAAGAATATCTGTATAACTATAGATTATTTCAAGAATTGTGATTTTTAAAAAATAAAGTTGATTACTATAAATTTAGTGTTATAGAAATAAATTGAACTGTGGACAGTACTACAGCAACTACCAATCACACTCTACTAAGTTTTCACGATAAACAGCTAATGACTGCTTTTATTTGTGAGGCTGCAATTTGGGTATCATTACGAATGGGTGAAATTAATTTCCGTCCAGCCTATAAAAATAATTGTTAATAAATGATAACCAATTGTTCCGTTTATCAGATATATTTCTAAACATAAAATACAAACAAAATAATACTATATTTTAACAGATCCCATGTAATAGAGACGTCTAAACCTTGCTATCAAAATCGATCAATTGTCTTATTCTTAATAAAGTCAATAAATGATTTTGTTGTACAAAAATAATGGTCTTATTCCTATTTTGATAAATTCATTAAATTTGTTATCCATGAACCATTGATTTCCAGCTTCCAAATTAATAAATAGGAAATCCAGTTTCTTTGCTTCAGGCCTCTTAGACCAGAAAATCTTCACTATTTAATTTTCAACACAAATATCCCGAAGAAATTTTCCAATGCGTTATTTTAGAGTCCCCTTAACCACAAAGAAACTCAACCTGCAATACTGTGAACCACTATTTTAGCAAATCAAAAAGAGGTTTTCTTCATAGTCAGCTAAAGTTCTCTCCTTTGCGGAAAGACTGTTCCTTAT